TGCCGCTGACAAGCCCCTGCCCGGGGACCTTCAGCACGCGGGTTTTCGGCAGGGGACGGGTGCTCTGAAGCTGGACGGCTCCTGGATTTTGGAAAAAAATCTTCTGGTGCGTCTGGAGCAGGGAACCATTAGGAAGGTCTCCGTTCTTGGCTTTGTTTAAACCCTCCCCATCCCCTCTGTCTTGGGGTGTGGGGTTTGGGGGCGTTAGGTGGCTGAGCCCTGTTCCGGGAACCCCGACTCGCTGGCAGCTGAGAGGTTCGCGCAGGCGGATGCACAGACCCGAACCGAGGGGCATGTGCTGCACCAGCAGCTCCCGTGGCTGGTGAGACCCTGCTCCGAGCCCGCCTCATGCTTACGGGGGCTTTCTCCTAATTAATGTGCTTCAGGGGACCCCAAACCGTCCAGAGGCAGGGGTGCAGGGTCATTTCTGGACTCCTTGGTCGTGTCTCCTCTTGTGGGTCGAGATCCCCCTCTCGGGCTGTGCCTGTCCACCACGTTCGCCCTTGCTGAGCGTCCAGAGGTGCGCCCTTGGCAGAGCTGTGCCACCGTCTCCCCGCTGCCAGGCATGGAAAGGGTCGCCTCGAGTCCTTCAGTCGAGAGACACAGAAATGGGACAAGCCCTCACAACATATCAAACAAAAATTAGTCTTTATGGGAGCTAATTACTAAGAAAACCTTCGTTTAATGTGGATTTCACAGGCGAAAATCTAGCGGTTACCCTGCCTGGGTGGAAGGCAGTGGGGCTTGGCTTTCCCTCCCTCTGCCTTAACTAGAGGCATGTGCGTTTCATGCCGTCCCCATGAGGGACACTGAGCTTTCATCTCGGAAGATGTGCTGTCCAAAAAAGTGAGGTATTAAAATCCAGATCAAACACGCTGCGTTGCTCTGAAATAGATCAGAAGCTGCAGCCCACACCCGGGACAGCTGAGACGAGCTGCCGGTCCCCCAAGACCTCCCTCCCTTTTAGTCCTCGCCGCTTCGCAGCCCAGTAAATAAACGAACCTGGAGCTTGTGTTCGGAGGGAGCCTTTCTGTCTGTTGTACTCGGTCAGAAGAAACTTCTCCTGGTCGGGCCCGGCAGCCAGGAGAGCGTCCCCCCGGCTCACGTTTTGGGTATTACATGGGTGAAGAACTCTGGGGATCCTAAACAGACCTCGTTGCTCGCTGGAAGCCTCTCGCTCGTGTTAGGTGACAGCTGGACCGAGTCCGTCCAAGCCACGAGCACGTGTCAGTGGGTAAATGATGAAGTTTTCAAAGAACAGACTAAGGAGTAAAAGGGAAAGCTACTGATCGCAAGGCCAAGCCCGGCTCGGGACGGAGCCTCCCTCCTTGTCCTGCAGCCCCCCCAAAACCCCGTCCCTGAGCCGCAGTTGACCCTCTGTGAGGGGAAGCCCGGCGCAGACTTAGCAAACCACCGTGGCAGGGCATCGCTGCGGCGTGGGCAGAGCCCCGGAGGAGCCTCCACGCTGGGAGCAAGACCTCTGCTGCCGAGGTGCGTGGGCAGGAGGGACGGCTCGGTCCCCGTGTCCCCAGGGAGCCCTCGCGGCACGGTCAGGCGATGGCCCCGGGTCCCAGGCTCCTCCGTGTCCTGCTGTCCCCCTGCGCCGCAGGCAGCTGCCTGTCCCCAGAGCCCCGAAACACAGGCTGTGGCGGGGAAGGCAAAGGCTGGATCCTGAGGAAATAACTTCAGGGGATCCACACGGAGCTTCCCGGCTTGGAAAGCCAACCCCGATCCCAACGCAGCCGTCAGGGGAGCTTTGTGAAGGACACACGCACGCAGGGGTTTGGGTTGTTGTTTTGTTTAGGAGTAGCAAAACCGAGCCATTTGGGGAACTCTTTAACTTCAAAAGCTGAGCGAATGATGGAGATTAATGAGACGTAATGGAATTTGGAGTCGAGGCTCTCCCATCTAAATTGCTAGATTTGAGGAGTAAATTCCTAACGCGCATTTTTGTATCCCTACTCGGAGGCTAGTGGCATCCTCACCTCCCTTGGGACTGGAGTAAACCAATGTTCAGCTGCTCTGTGACAATGCTGCTGCCTTGGGAGGGCCGGGAGGAGAGATTTGCACTTGTCATCGGCTTCTCCGGATTGATTTCTAACCCGGAGATTCGGTGGTGAAATCCATGGTGGCTCCTGGACTCTGGCGGCGTTTGGGCAGGAGCCGGTACAAGCTGTCGCAAGAGGAGGTGCTGGCCCCGCTTCCCAGCCGCGGTGCAAAGCACTTCACATGAATCCAGGTGACAAAGCTGGGGCGGGGGGTAAATACGAATTCACCTACAGCCTGGAAATGTTTTTTTTAAAAAGCAGTTAAAGGTTAAACCACAAGCTGCAAAAAACCCCAAAACAACCCCTTAAATCTGACAGGAACAGAAAGAGCCTGGTCCAGGCGGGTCTCGGCAGGC